TTGTCACATGATAAATTTGGGATTTTTGAGATATATTTGTAGATTGAGAAATTGAGTTTGGTATTGTATCTCTCATGAGTGTGCGATGACCATGGGTGGCCTTTGACGAGATATCGTAGAGTGGGTAGACGTTATTCATACTCCGTGTAGGTTTGAATTTTTTCTACCACTTGTAGTGGGGTTAGTGTTTTGGTAAGACTAAACCGCTATTGCTCACAAGTATCGAGGCAAAGGGTTAGTATACTAATGCCTGGGTGGGATACATCATTGTCATTGGTATGATATACGCCCTTCCTAAAGGTTGGATATCTTTAAGAAGATTTGGGTGTGAGTGTGTGGGCTAGATGTTACTCAATGCGTTGATTCATGTGGATGTCTTACATCATGGTTGAGATACATGTATATATTGTTATGAAATGTTCAAGTTATGAGTTATTGTTTAGTCTACCAAAAATAGTTTCTACAAGAATCTTGGAAAGTATGGGATTCCGCAAGAACTTGTGAGAAACGGTTTATGGTGAAATGGATTATTAATTGTATATTGAGCTCTTTTATTCATTAAATTATTGTTGTCATTTAAACTTGAGATCTGTTTCAAATGTCCCTGTTTTCTTCAAAAGTTATATATGCTATTTGTAAAATGAGACCGACCATTTTATATGTTTTTTCTAAACCTTGTTTGAGTTTGGGATGAATATTGCTACAGAGCTTAGTGCTCACCTCATGCAAACTATATTTTTCAGATTATGTACTGGAGGAGGAGTTGAGAGTTGATGAACTGGAACACTGGGAGACTCCGATAGACGAGAGCGTGAATCCCGAGGTAGACGCTTAGAGCAACATTTTCTTTTGTTCTAGACTAGGATATTTATTTCGAACATTGTGAAGTCTAGTTTTTCTTTTGTTATTCTGCTGTGTTATGATAGTTAAATTTTTGGGTGGTAAATGTCATGGTTGGACATATTCTTTTGGATAATGTTGTAAATTTTATGGATGAAAAATGAAGTCTTATTTATTTATGGATTATATTAGCGCTCTCATGATGTGAATGATTTATAGATTGTAATGTCGTCCAAGGTGGGTTTTGGGGCGTTACAGTTAGAGGATCAAGATGTGGATCCTACCTTAGAGGAATAAAGTTGATCTATTTTTGGTTTAGAGTTTGAGAGATTTTTATGAAACAATGTTTTAGCTAGTTTTTATTATTCCGCTGCTACATATTTTTGGTTTTGAATTATAAGTTGGAAAAGTTTTAATTTTTTATTAGCTTTAGTATTTATTCATTGTCAAATGGATGAATGATTTATTACTTAATGGTTATTTTTAGTTGCTCTTATGGTTGGATGGTTTATAGATAGTAATGTCATATAGAGTGAATTTTGGAGCATTACAATCTCCTATAGCATTGACAAATCCTTCTCAGGAAAGGTTTATTATTCCTCAGCCTCAAACTGACGTGAACAATAATGGTTGCTCTCACAAACAACAATCTACTATAAGTATTAGGCAACTATCTTATCCTACTGGGATAGACTAACCTCTAACACTCTACGGTGGCTCTCAAAAGCAATTCAAGTTCGTCACACCCAAACCATACAAGAGATGAAACCATAATTTTTTCAACTACAATCTTAACCAATCACAATTTTCATTAACAATTCAAGTATCACAATTTCATTATTCTCAATATACTATAGTAATAAAGAAATTAAAATATGCAAGAGATCATATCAAGAAAATCTTCACAATTTTGATATCAAAATTCTAGGATTTTGCCAATAATTTCTTGGAATAAGAACAAATATTAGATGAAAACATGACTTAAGCAAAAGTAGGAATTTAAAAATCAAGAATCCATGTATTTTTCACAAACCAAATATTTATTTAACAAACTTGGGTTTTGGAAATACAAGAACAAGTATTCTTTGAACTATAACATGTATTTTGTTAAATATTAAGAAGATTGAAAATATACATATATAATACCCTAAGTCTCAATGAAAGAACTCCAGAAAAATCCCCTACCTTGATTCCGTAATTTGTATGTAAACCTAGCATGTTTGATTCTTTCCAACGTTAGAATCCCCCTTCAATCTTGTGTTTCTATTTTTCTCTCTCACTCTATAAGGTTCTTTAGGGTTAGAATTGATGAAATAGGGCTAGGGAAGATGCCCTTAAGTATTTATAGTATGAGAAAATAGTCTAATCGGTGCAAACCTGATACTCAAAATTGGAATAGTACGTTCAAACTAGAGGTTTGATGTTCGAACGATCTACATGACATTCAATCGTAATATTGGCATTCGAACGTTGTTTGCTCCCAGTACTTTTATTTTTCTATTAGAGTTTCTGTCAAACACTATAGCATTGAGACTAACACTCATTCGAATAGACTCCCGTTTTTAGCTGGATTTCTAATGAAGTGTTGGCCTGGTTAGAGGTCGATTTAGGAATTTTCGTGAAATACACTTTTGTAGTCCTAAAAGTCTAATGTCTATTGTAAAAATTTTAGATCAATTGGACATTATGGTAAAAATTTATGGTCCAAATACTAAGATAGTGTCAAATTCCTTCCTATCCAAATTTTCTCTAAAATGTGTTTTAACTCCAAAATACTTCCAAACTTCTAATACACCCCATATTGCCTCTCCCAAAGTTTTTATTTCTACTTTGACAATCTATATAGTTCATTCTTATATCATTACATATATAAGTATTACAAAAATAATTACGTCACTATATTAAGCTAAACATATGGGGGTTTACAAGAATTTTTATCGGTAGGTGGTACATGTTCTATTGATAGGAAAAACTTACAAAAGTTTATACTTTTTCATCAGAGGAAGTCCTACCTGTAGGTGGTATATGTTCTACCGATAGAAAAACTCCAAGTACTTTGTCAGAAGAAGTCGTACCAGTAGGTGAATGATGTTCTACTAATAGGAAAAGCCATAGAAGTTTCAAAGATTTTGTCAAACAAAGTTCTACTGGAAGTTTTCATTATTCTATCAATAAGTCGTTCTGCAGAAGGAGTTGCTACTGGTAGGTAAAGACAGATTTTCACAGGAAACTCAATAAAAGATCAAATTTCGCCATATCTTTTGAAGATTCTCAACCAATCAGAGAAGGAGATAAATTTGGAAGAAAATATATCAAAGACCTAAAGATTCTCCCTCAAATTAGGATAAATAGAAGGCCCTATGGGAATACAAGGACACACCTTTTGCCTTTTAGTTTTACTTTGTTTTTCTACATTTAGAGTGTGTTGGGGTTGTTCTTCAGAGCTTTGTTGTCGTCCTTTTTTTTTACGTTTTCTTCTTTCAATTTTTCTAAGCAATCATACATTCGTTTGTCTTTAATTTCAAGCTTTGTTATTTCAATTCAGTTTTCAATACAAGCAATTATTTTCAAGTCAATCTTTATTTTTCTGAATTTAATTATGTCATCTTCAATATCGTCTTTTGTTTATATTGCCATGAGTGAATAATCTTTCTCTAGATAATCTGAAGAAGGAGTCCCAACTTATGAACTAGGGTTTATGCTCTAAACTAGGGTTTTAGTGTTTACGTGATTATTTGAATAAGATATGTTTTCAAAAATCTAATTGATTTACATACTTCCTGATTATCTATATACAATTGGCTTTGGTATAGACAATTAATGGTGTTTTCTATAACATTTAGGGTACTGATTCTTTCGTCATAAACTATCTTTAAATTGATACTCTATTAGTTTGAATACGAAAGCTGGTGAGTTATAGATTTAGCGCATAAATTCTGAAGATTATTTAGTTTTTCAATTATTGGATTTTATTTTCATTAGTAGTTAATTTCCAAACTCTTGAATTTCAAGGACGTTTTCCTTTTTATTTTCCATCACCTTGGATTTCAAATCTTTCCCTGAGGAGACAATCTTGGACTTCTGTTCAAATTACTATATGATACTATTCTCTTACCCTTGGGAGCACTCATGAAAATACAACCCATTGGAGGGCAAGTAAGCATTTACAACCTTAATTCAACTTTAGACTTAAATTTAAATTTGAGTCAAAATGGCTTAACAAACTTCTCCAACCTTATACCTAAACTTATATCAAATCAAGAAAAAATTTATTCTAGATCCAAATTAACGAAGACTCAAATTCTATATCAAATTTTTAGTTGTAACTTTTTATCCTATCTAAACCCAAAAAACTCATTCAATGGAATAAATTCTTTGGCCCTCTTGCCTTTATCTTCAAACTCATTGCCATCGTTGCCGACCACACTGCTGCCATCACCACATACCACATCACCTATCCCTACCTCTATTATTTGATTGTAACTTTTTACTCTCTCTATCTTTCTTTCATCTCTTATACTCGGTAAAAAGTTCACGAATCTACCACTCAAAGAGTTTGATATTTCTATTTATTCTTTTGGTTAATATTAGTGAAGTTTGTAAGACAATAAGTTTTAATATTGAATAAAATGTTTTGATGAAATTTTTTTTAAAATATTTGAGTAGATGTTTGAGTTTACTTATTAGAATATTTTATATCAAATCAAGTTTTAATTTGAGTAATTTAAGTTATGGTTAGAGATGTTTTAACACCAAAAATTAATACAAAAATTAATTAATAATTATGTAATTACAAAAAAAAATTTATTTAAAAAATATAAAAAATCTCACTCGAATTTATTGTTTTAGGCCTATAACATTAAAAAAAAGAGAAGGCAACCTAGCTCAATTTAATAGAATCGTATCTTTATTTGGGGTCAGTAATTTTCTTTCCAGTTGTGCGCTAATCATAGCAGGCGTTTAATCAATGGAACGGGTCGGGGCAAGTCCGTCAATAGGGTCCATAGGATGAAACAGTAGCTTAGTTTGCTATCTTGCAGGCTTCCAGTTAGAACTAGGGTTTCTCTGCTGGTGGCAACATTTTTCAGAGAGAGAGAGAGAGAGAGAGAGAGAGAGAGAGAAATCAGATTCTCTGTCGTTTTGAATCAAAGTTGGTCGAGATGAGGCCTATATTGATGAAAGGGCACGAGAGGCCACTGACATTTCTGAAATACAACCGTGACGGCGACCTCCTCTTCTCTTGCGCCAAGGATCACACGCCCACCGTCTGGTTCGCTGATAACGGCGAGCGCCTCGGCACTTATCGCGGCCACAATGGCGCCGTTTGGTGCTGCGACGTCTCAAGCAAGTCCCTACCCTCCTCTCTATGTGTTTTGAAATGGTGTCGTCTATTTCTCCCTTATTTTTCTACTCTAAGAACCCTAATTTATCTCTCTCTCCAATACTTATAGATGTGGGTATGTGAAAGTCTGAAACGCCTTTTTTTTTTTTCCTGTTTCTTCCTTGGTGTATAGCAAGCGAACCATAATCAATCTTTCTGTTAAAATCTTAGAGGGTTCTGTGGATCCTTCTGGTTGATTGTGAAAGAGTGAGATAAAGAGAGGGAGAGAGATATGGGAGTGGTAAGAGCCGGTAAACCTATAGACGGTTAAGTGAGGTTGGGGGAGATTTTTGAGTAGTTATGGGGGGAGAAAGCAGACGTATTATGAATCTTTCTTACGGAGTGGATACCAAACCCTCTCTTTCTATATTTGTAATATTAATATATGTTTGTGTGTATATAATGTGTGTTTACATACATCTACGATGTATGGATCTCTAGGGATATATATATTTGCCTTTACATAGCTTTAAGTCATGATTTGTTTTTCAGAAAGTGCGTGTATCTATATGGCTGTATGTAAATTACACACAGACATTTATATTTAGCTGCGGATGATATAAAAAAATCATCATCACAAACTCATTTCCAAAACCCTAATCCATAAAACTCTCTCATGGCTTCATCATCATCTTCAAAACCTATACACCTTTCATGGCACCTCTTTTACATTCTCTCTTTTCTCTTCCTTCTAATCGGTTCTTGCCTTGCAACTAGAACGGGGAAGATGATGATGGTGGAGGTGGACGGAGTTTCAGAGATGTGGCCGGAGAATTTGACGGATTACCCACGAAAGCCGGAAAATGTTTATCCATATCCAAGCTTGCTATTGAATAAATTACCCAAAGGGGTCCCTATCCCTCCTTCTGGTCCATCCAAGGGGCATAATTCAATGGTGAACTCTGAACCTTCAAGCTGAAGTAAACAGTGATCACCAGTATACTTAAGATTATTTTCTGTCTTCTTCTGTTGCTTCATATTGTGTTGAGTAAAGGTTTGCAAATTTATAGATTTCTCATGAAGCCTGACAAAATCTAGCGCAGAATCATCAGATCAATTAGAAATATTTGTTTTACTAGCTATTACAAAAATATTGTATATGTACACCAACACACACAATTTTCAATTTATGAATAAGGGATTTTTTTGAATTTGGGTTTTCAGGGGATTCCACAAGGCTGATTACAGGGAGTGCAGACCAGACGGCAAAGATATGGGATGTTCAGACTGGGATGCAGTTGTACACCTTTAATTTCGATTCACCAGGTAGATCAGTCGATTTTGCGGTTGGTGATAAGCTTGTAGTAATTACAACAGACCCGTTTATGGAATTGCCTTCGGCTATTCAAGTCAAACACGTTGCTGAAGATCCTAGTGAGCGTAAGTCTATACCTGTGTTATTTTTAATGTTATCCTCAGTTGTTGAGATTTAATTTGAGTTGTTTTACCCTGTTCTTGTTTGAGCCTAGAGTAAGAAGCACTAAACAGAAGCTTTTAGAACTTGGTGAAGTTTTTGAAGGGTACTAAAAATCGACTTGTCTATTTATTTTCAGAAATGTATGGTTTTTTGAAGTTTCTTGAATTATATTTATTCTTCTAGCATGTTTGATAGCTTTTTGTTTTTTATATTGCTTTATACTTTTGGTGTTTTTGTTAAAATGAATCTAAGTCTTTCTTGCATACTTACCGATGATTCTAGTTATCTATAGTTTACTGCTTCAGAAATGATTTATAAAACAAAAGTACCTCTTAAAGTTCAGTTTTTCGTTTAAACTGTTGCTTATAATGTAAGTGTCTAATGAATTCTTTGGAAAAGGGATTGTTAATGCTTCTTTTATCTATTCTTGTCCTGAAAAAAGAATAAGTGATTTTAGGCCAGTAATTTTTGTTACTTCCAAGTATCGAAATATCGTTTTGGAGTACCATTTCCATTATGTCAAAAACGGAAACGTTTCGGAAATGTAGAAAAAAAATATGGAAACACGTGGAAACACAAATACAATTAATTTATTTATAGAGATAAACTCAATAATTGATTAATTGAGCATGTTTATTGGGTTAACATCTATTTATACAAGATAACACCAAGTTGGAGGAAAAAAAAACTTGACGCTAGGTGGAAATCACTTGAATTAGTTTTAAATACTTAATTTTCATCAAGCAAATATATTTTTACATAACGTTGAGGTCTCATAATACAAATGAAGTGCTAATGAGTACATAACTACATGGCTACATTCATCCCGCTGTTGAGTGTCGAGTAGACTCATAAATCGGTGCTGGCTTTGGTAGTCACTTAAAAGAACTCCATATGTGGTATAAACACGACGACAATAGTTGGTCTACATCCAAGCTGTTAGGAAATAAATGCACCAGTTCTTACCCAACCTTCGTCTTGTCTATATGAGCTGGATGTTTGAGAGTTAAGGCTAGATCCATAATCATATGTTAAGGATCCATATTTGTATCTTTGTGAGTCATACCTCGATCTATAATCATATGAGGGAATGCCATATCCAAAACCATAACCATATGAAGGTGACGAACCATAATTATGATGTTCACTTCCACTTTCACTTATACTCATATTAGAAAAGCCATCATTAATCATTTCAATTTGCATAATAGCATGCATACCATGTGGAGTGATCGAATTTTGAGTATCATGTGTAAATCCTTCCTCTACAGTGAATCCATTATCACCACATTCATTGTCACCATCACCATCACCATCACCATCACCATCATCATCTCCACCACCATCACCATCATCATCTCCATTATGATGATCATTAATACTATTAGTGCGAGTGACAGGTTGCTTATGTTTTGGTGCTACTTTTATTGATTTGTGAATATGCTCATTCCTCTCTGTCCATAACACTAAAATAACGCCAAAGAAGTCAAAATCTACTCTTCATGCATTTTCTTCTTTAGGCATCATTGTCTCCGACATAGTTGTTAATATCGTACGATACATCACGATACGGATCGTAGTTTTGTATCTTTTTGCGTTGTATCGTTCGATACACGATACATTTTTATGATATGATACGTATCGGTACGATACGAACGATACGCGCAAAACTTGTTTTTTTTTATGGAACAACATCGTTTTGTCTAAATAAGAGACTAGTTTTTTTATTCTTGTCACTGAAACGACATCGTTTCAAAGACTAGGATTTACAAAAAAAATAAAATTCATTTTTTCCTCTCTCCTCTTCGTTGTTTGCTGTCTTCCTTCGGTGTTCTTCAGACGACGAAACACAGCACACAACAACCTTCGACACAAAACGACAAAGGTAGCAAAATGTCTGTTCTCCGTCTTCTCTGTGTTCTCTGTTCTCCGCCTTCTTAGTCATCTCTCTCTTCTCTTTGTTCTTCATCGACGAAGGCAGCAAATTTTGAGAAGCCATCGAAGCAGCCCTAGATTTGCAGCCGTAAGAAATTCTGTTCTTCTTCCTTCTCCAGCTACTCTAGCTAAACCTGTGCAGTGTAAGAAATTTTGTTAATTTATTTACAAAGCCAAATAATTTTTTTTTTGTATAAAAATTTTTGAATTTTAATTAATTTTAATTTTGTGAAACAGTGGCATCACCAGCATCCTATTTTCATATAGAAATGAATAAAAAACTTGCACAGGTTTCTTACACTACACAGGTTAATTTTGTTAAATTCTGTGCAGTGTAAGATGATGATGATGCATTTTCAATTGAAATTGAAGATTGAGTTCAAAATGGATGTTAGAAATTTGGATTAGAAGTCTCTTTGTTGTTTGAAGTTTGAATTAATAAACTATGGTTGTGAACTTTGCATTATAATATTAGTGAACTATGTTGATGACTTGAATAGTTGTTGGAGTATTAATAAAATGCTATATTTTTATGAGTGTATGATTTTTTTTGAAGGTCTATATATATATTTTTATTATTTATTTAAAATTACACCGTATCTTACGATATACTATTTTAAAAAATGATAAGCCTTTCGATACACGATTTAATAACTATATTCCCCGACATCCCAACATCTCCCTACAAGATTTAGGCATGCACCGTGCCATATCAAATTTTAAGATTAACAATGAGCACAACTCGTGCAATCGGGTATTACAGTAGGAGATGACTCATTCTTCTTCTCTAAAAAAAACATAGGGCATCCTTTTGGGAACTGAAAGTCCCTCCTCCTCCCAGTCCAAAACAAAGAAGTCTTGGAATGTGCCTAAGTTTTCCAAATCCCCTTCCAAGGGAAATCCCCTCGCCCTTCCCTTAACATCTTGTAGAAGGATTGCACTGTAAATCTCTAATTCTTATCGTCGGTCCATCTCACCATCTCTCCCCTATGTAATTGTTTTAGTATGTTTAGTACTATTTGAATCTCCCCAAGTTAACAGACTCTTAGAATTAGGATGTATTGCCCTTACCCTTGGGATGACACTCCTTAATTGACGAAGGGTCCAAAATCTATCAGTGGCCATGTGACATGAGATTTAATCAATCGGTGTATGTAATTGATGCTAGATGGGGAAAGGGGGAAAATAAATTAGAGAATAGAATAAGAAAAAGAAGAGAAAAATGGGATGTACCACATCCTTGCAAGGAAAGGATTAGGTCAAGAAACACAAATTTTTGCAGAGAATAATTAATTCATATTCATAATTTTCCTATAATTAAAATTAGTAGGGATTATATCAAATATTATATGCTAAGTCTCCTACCAGAACGAAACTTTACCAAAACAAAACTTACTCCGCTACTAAAATTCAAAAAGAGTTTCATAATCGAACTCTCAAATTACGTTCATACTAAAACTCCATGATAATTTCCTAATCAAACTCTTACTAATACTCTTAGTCAAACTAAGTTGATGAGAGAGGACTAGTTACATTCACCATTGGGACCCTTAAGGAGATAGTCATGTGTGAAGTGTTGCCTCTCAAGCTTTGTTTCATACTTTTAGGGCACACCTGGATATGGGATCGTGGTGCGCAACATGTTGGGTGTCTAAATATGTATTCTTGTATTATTGGAAAAAAGTACTCATTTATTAGTGCTATAGATATTTGCGCGGTGCAATTGAAAAAGATTTCATTGTTGATTCAACAAGCTTCTCCATTAGATGATATTCTTGACCGTCCTCCTTAGATGCTGGAGTTCTTTTCACTGGGGCAGAATTGATGGTTCATCTATTTCATAGTTGGACCACTACAATCGACTTTGGAAGGTTAGGCGAAAGACTAGGAGTTTTTAGTCTAAAAGGAAAGTGTGAATGGTAGTTTATCAGGATTAGTTTTATTAGTATTTGTTTGATTGTTTAATTTAGGAATATTTGTTTAACTAGGGATATTAGTGAGAGTTTGATTAGGAATTTATTATAGAGTTTTAATAGGAGATTGATTTAAGAATTCGATTATGAAACTTTCGTAGAATTTTAGGAGAATAATTTTTATTTTGGTAGGAAATTTTTGGCCTATAAATATCAATGTAATCGCTATTGTTTTATTAAAGTGTGATATTAATAAAATTGTTTCACGGAGAATTTGTATTTTTTTGGACCTTATCGAGAGTTTGGTATTTCTTCTTCTTCTTCTTCTCTATTCTCTGATTTCTTTCTTCTTCTGGTTCTGCATCAAAAACACATCCTCTCCCATCCCTTACTTCAGATTAAACATGAGACTAGAACTCAGCTCTCACCCCCATGCCACTCCTCCACCACCCCATCCTATAAACCCTACAGATCTCAGTTGAGGCCCATCCTCCCTAGCCACAGCCATACCTCACTTCGACCACTCTCCTCCATAATGCTGCTCTCTCCACCATGAACCTCCACAGCCACTTGCCCACTAATGCCTGGTTAAATGTCGGGGAGTGTGTGACGGTTAGGGGAGGGCATAGCACAATTCTTCTTGGAGGAGAGCACCCATTCACTTCAAGCGTGGGAAGGCAACAAAGTTCAGTTCATTCTCTTTACCATGCGATGGGTCAACAAACTGTTATAATCTCACTTCTCGTCTCCTCCTAATCTCTACAAAGAAAAGCACTCTAAATCTTCTCCAACCTTACATTACTGAAGTTGGGATTCTAAAAAGTGCAGAAATAGTAGGGAGGTTGAAGATGTGCCTCTAAAGAGCATAAATTTGTCACCCTTTGAGCGGTATCTACATTTTCAATCTACCACAGCCTTTGCATATGCTTGGAGCCAAGAGGAAGTCCCAAATATGTACATGGTGGAAGAATCGCACCCGACATCCAAGCACAACTGCCAAATTTTCACTTCTTTCCTTTTGGGGTAACCTTTTTAATTGACATTGTTGTCATTTTGCAGAGACTGGTGAATCTGTGCTCGTAATTAAAGGCCCACAGGGAAGAATTAATAGAGCTGTTTGGGGACCTCTTAACACCACAATCGTAAGTGCTGGAGAGGATGCTGTAATTCGTATCTGGGATTCCGAAGTAAGTATATGCTTTTAAGGATGTTAAGTTGCCTAAGTTTGGTTTTGTGGTGATAAGTTTTGTAACAAATCAGATTTCAATATCTTTAATCTTGTGAGTTGTATAGTTCTGGATTGCTTTTTAGTTATTTGGCACGGGTTCAAATCTAATTTACTTTTTGGCATTTTTTTTGCTGCACTTTCTCTTTTTTTTATGAATTTGTCTATTAAAAATTCTGAATTGTACGTACTCTTCAAACTTTCAGACAGGGAAATTGCTTAAAGAGTCTGACAAGGAAACTGGCCATAAAAAGACTGTCACTTCACTTTCAAAATCCATTGATGGTTCACATTTTATCACTGGTTCCCTGGATAAATCTGCTAAGGTATAGGAACTCAAATCTATTTTTTAAAACATCTCTTTTCCTTCACTTTTCTGTAGGATTTGTCTCTTCTCTCTTTTCTCATGTGTTCATGTATCACATATTTGGTAGCTTTGGGACATAAGATCATTGACACTTATCAAGACCTATGTGACCGAACGTCCAGTCAATGCAGTTGCAATGTCGCCACTTCTTGATCACGTATGTAACGACTGACATTTACTTTTAGTTTGCAGTAGTTTTCATATGTTTGCAAATGTGATGCATCTTTTTTAGTTGGAATCATATTATTATTTGTTATTTGTTGTTCTGCTTAAGTACTTGGGGTTTTCCAGATGCAAATTTCCTTTATTTTCTTGGTTGACTTTATTAAACTGTATCATTAGCTCTGAATTATGAGTGAAAGCATATTCTTTTATATAAAAATAACAGTGATTTCCTTACCACCCAAATGATTCAGACCTTTTTTATGCTCAAAATATTTTTGGGCTGGTTTATCCATGGCATTAATATGAGCCAATTTTCTGTGCTGTTTTCCAAGAAAAATTTGTGTACAAAACTCTGTGATGTCATAATAGTTATGAATGCACCATAAAAATTACCTATTTTGACCCCAGTTCAGCTGTTTACATGTATTTAGCATACATAATAGACGTGCATGGTATTCTATTCCATCTTATGGGTTTTAGCCCTAATTTAAAAGTTCCTAGTCTCTGGATCTTCTGCTGCAATGGCAGCTTATGTTTCACTTTCTTTGAACAATTCCATTGAAAGAAGTACATGAATCGTTGACTCTAAATTTGTGGACCTCACGGCTCCTTTTAATTCATTAGGTGTCAATGCCTCTCACATAAAAAACCCCATAATGTAACTATTAGCTTCACTCTTTCCCAAAAAAGTTCTTCAGATTCAGATTTTCCTTCAATTATTCTATTATTTCTTTACTTCCAAATAATCCAAAAGATGGCCATAACCACAGAATTGCAAAGTATGGAAGCCTCTTACTCCAAAAAACTTGGAAACACAACCACGTGGAATCATCCAGTCCAATCTCACCTCACTAACCACAACTCAACAGAACAATGAGGAGAGTTATGGTCAATATTTTGATCAAAATTCCTACACGTAACACATCAATTAGGTGAAGGCCTTTTTTTTTTCCAATCGAATCATAGGTATTATCTCCCATTAGTCACAGTTAGGGATGGATGGTATTGTAACCTGAAATTCGTCTGTAAAGGTTTGAACTTTGTGGGTACTTAATTTTTACTGCCACTACTGCAACCATCTCCATTGTCATCGTCACTACCACTGCCATCATTGCTGCTATCGTTACCATCGCCCTTAGCCCCATCAACGCCACTCCTCCCAAATACGATAGTAGTTTGGTTACTTCATGTAAATATACTGGCATTAAATTTAGTACTTTGTCTCGTGTAGTTTCATGTGATGTTAAGACGTACGGACCTGCTGTTACAAAAACTAAAGTCTTGTTTGATTTACACATCATCCGTCAATTTGTTGATGAGGGGCAAATCAGGGTGCAAATTTTTGTAAAGAATTAATGTACTTGGAATCACAAACTTGCTTTGGATATGTTTTCATCCTGGGACACTGGGTTAAGGATGAGTCCCCTTTTCACTTGGGTGAATTTGTGGGTTCAAAGTAAGAGGATGTGATGATTAGCCTATTGTGTGGTCCATGACTATTATAAGCTTTTGATTTCATTTATCGGACTATGGCGGTTGGCCGTAACTCCACAAGTAGGCCGGGGTTGGAAGGCAACAAAGGCCTTAATTTAACAATAACAAGTTGCCTATGGCCATTCATATACGTTGGATTGCAGTAGTTCAATCCAAGTTCCCTTTGGCTTGGCTATGGAGGATAGAACCTGTAACACCAGTTTTATCCCATTCAAACATAATGGATCAAGCTACATTCAACATTTGGAAACTTTGCTGAAGCATTAGCTAAGTTGGCCTCAACGTGGGTTGAGCTTTACATAGCAATTTGGAGGCCTCTATAAAAAGAGAGGGGCTTGAGCTTTACATAGCAATTTTGAGAGAGAGAGAGACAGAGAGAGTGGGGTTGATGGTGGTGATGATGATGGAGGTGGTGGTGGTTGTGATCTAAATACAAATAGGGACACAAGATACACATATAACGACGTGGACATGCTGCTACAAAATTTCAAGAGAACAACTGATATGTGCATGCCGGGGACATTATACAAATTATTATGTTCTACATGTCATGTAATCTATTACTTTATAGAGGTATAACTATACAATTATACAACGTAAAGCAATCAACAATCTATGACAAGTAAATGTGATGCCTGGTCCATTAGTGTCAAATTTTATACCAATGGCTCTTGGTGTTTCGTAATTAACAGTTTTTTTCTGAGACTGCATGCATAAACTATATAGATTGTGTTTGGCACAACTTCTCAAAATGAATGTTCATTTCAGGAATGGACTTTATAAAAATGAACTTTTTGAGATGCGCTTTCACAAAATATCAAATGTTTGGTGATCTTATGGTTTAGAAGTGCTTTGAACAAAAAAGTACATCTTCATGTATGAAAGTTTGTTTGGTTACAACACATTAGAAGTGTAAAATAACACTTAATTATTGTTTTGGTTCAAAAATAGACAAATCTAATTCATTTTTAGGGAATAATTCAATAAATATATAAATTTTAAAACCTAATAACAAAGTTAACATACTCGATCAAAATAGTTGAAAATTATTAATTGATGTCATATCCATACTTCAATGGATTCACTAATAGTGATCTCAAGCTATCACTTCACGTTGTCCAAGAAGTTCTACAAAATGTGTAGGGCTCCTGACCACCATCAATGGTAATCTCTCTCTCTCTCTCTCTCTCGGTCATTAGTTGAGTTGAAGTTCTACAAACCTTTCTTCTCTGTTGGATCAACTGTCTCAATTTATAGAACCTATTTTTTCTGCGTTCTTCTTGTTTTGTTCACTCAAAAATCAGTGATACTGATGGAATTAGTTCTCATTCTTTCCTTGGTTGTGGCAAAAGTAACAACAAAACTTCATTGTTGTAGATAGCAAATCTAACCATGACGTAGACATAAAGAAGGTGTGTAGTTTGGTGGAGGAAGAATTATGGTAAAACTCGAAGAAGAGGGTAGAGATTCAAGAGGATGTGTGTTAGTAATATTGTTGGGTAACAAAGGTATTGCAATGTAAAAATGAGGGTAATACGGGGATTGACTTTAATTATTTAAATGATCACAACTCACTTCACAGGAAGTTGATAAGCCAGGCTTTGAAAAGCTATCTATCCTAGCCTTTACAAATGGGCATTTCAAGAATGGGCTTTTTGTCCAGAAGTGGAAAATCATGGTTTCGATGAACCGTGAAGATTTTTTTAAGTAGACTTCTTCAGCTCAAAATCCATTTGTGAGGTGCGCCAGAAACAGTGGTAGTAATTACTCTTATCTTCTGAAGTTATCTTTTTTAGTAAATCGTGTATGCATTTTTTGCTCTTATTAGGAAATTTCAAGTGAAAATTTAACATGATTAGTCTGCATAATAATGCATACCTTTATCATATGAGATAGTCATTTTTTAAAATTTTCAAATTGTGTTCACGACATGTCAGCTTAATACTTATTCTTTGTCGTAGACACAACCTAAAGAAGTGTTAGACATGCCACCAAAGGAGTTTTGGAAACATGTTCAAATTAAGGTTTATTGTCTAATTATGGACACGACTAAAATATTATTGGACAAAAGTCCAAGAGTGTCCGAGAAGTGTTGGTGTCCGACACATATATATCACTTTGTAGAAGTGTTTGTGATTCTTAGGTGGTGATGGTTTGACATTTGTTTTTGTCTAAGATGTGGTTTAACGGTTTTAACCCAATCCATCGTAACCTCTTTATTTGGTGGGCACGTTCAACACATTATGGACCTAGGCACATCCTGTCCATTTGTCATTGGCAGCAATAGTCTGTCCAAAAATCCACATCATGATCATCGAAGAGATTTCGAAATTCAATGAGGATGGATCAATCAACAAATGAAAGAAGATTTGCAAGATCCCTAAAAAATATGGAATCCACAATCCTTTGTGAAGATCCGAGCAATTCAAAGGCACCAAGTCTAACAAAGACATCAAAGAAGAGAGGTCCACCTTCTTATGATTCAAATTCTTTAGAAAAATAAAAATTCCGTACCATTTGAGTAGACAAAGAATGGGCCCTACTAGCTGTGGAATTGTAATGGGACTGCAACAAATGATAAGCCAAGGAAACAAAAATGCAAAGAAAGACTCAGTACTCCAATATCATTCCAAAATTGTTTTTCACTTTTTCCAAAATCGAGGACATCGAAAGCACTCATATCCATCAGCATATAATTCTACGCTAGGGTACAAGATCATAGATACTTGAGGTATCCCACTATTGAGGTTGCAAACTAGCCCACCGTTGGTTTGTAACCTAGGTTGCTCAGTCCTCCACAAGGATCAAAATATCGTTTTGGTGTATTGTTTCGGTCATCTAGGAAACGGAAATGTTTCGACGTGTTTCGGAAACATAATGAAAAAAATAAAAAATTTAGAATTATTTTTCTAAAACATTGATGACAATATATCAAAGTATCTTAAAACACTTTAAAACATTCTAAAACAATTGTGCAAATATATTTAAATATTATAATACATTTAAAAATATTATGAAATACCTCGAAATATCAGAATTTCGATTCCATCAATGTTTCGTTTCGGTCTTCTTAGAAACGGAAACGTTTCGACCGTTTCGAAACGATATTTTGATCCTTAGTCCTCCAGACCCCAAATTGGGGTTATTCTGGCTGTTTATTTCTTTATTTTGTTAGTCGATATGCTATTTTTCAATTATGGTTCACTTTGAAACTTTTATCAGAATTTCAAAATAAATGTCAATAGACTATGTATGCATATGTATAGTTAGATATTGTTTCATATAATAGCAAAAGCTATCACATATGTACAGTAAATATAACTTGTCTGTGTATTAGAGATATATAAATATAAATAATTTAATTTAATAGCAGAAGCAATTTGAATACATGCTTCAAAGCAAATTGGGACCCAAAACAACCACTTAGCTAAGTCTAACCCCATCATACAACGTAGTCAAAAAGTATTGTTTCGCATATATATATCTATTTGTGTATCAAACCGAGCCATGTACAAGTACCATTGCTCACATTGGATTGAAGGCCATGTTTACTCTACAAAATTGAATGCCCCAAAGTGTCCTATTCTAGGAAAGTTTTTTCCGACCACTTTTCTACTACTACTAGATTCCTTTTAATTAGATTCCCCACTTCCAAATTCCAATCCTCCCTTTACTATAGATCTGCATGCTACCTTTTAGCCTATGAAGTACTGATACTTTGTTTAGGGCGAAGTATCTATACCAGATACCATATAGGATACAATACTCATTAGATCATAGTTATTAAAACCAGCCTTGACATCAACCTACAATCCACAAACCCATTCAGATTGACCATTCAATAAAAACAATTAATAATAATAATTACTATGTTAAGTAATTATAATAGATATTAAAATAACAGGCTTAATGTGTATTAAATCAAATAAAAACGTAAAAATATCAAACATGTCCACAATCCATCCAATTTTCAAGATATATTATTAAGTGGAGAAAGTAAATACCTTTATCAAAATTCAAGTCTCCAATTATCCATCAATCCAAGTCAACTCCATGAGATTTTTTCTTAAGTTTCTCATTTTCTTAAAAGCTTAAGAAATCATTAAAATAATGACATGTAAGCTGAACTCAAATTGAGGGACTATTTTAATGAGATGGTTATATAGATTATGAAATAAAATCACTTTTCATAAGTTGAACTCAAATTTGAATGATGTTAAATTAAAATAAAAGCATTAGCTGGGGATAGATGAAAGAGAAGAAACCTCAAGTGTTAAGAATATACAAGAAAACTAAAAATAATATTATTGTAAATGAGGTGAGATAGATAGGCATAAATTGGGTGTCTTGAAAAATACTATTGAGACCTTGAGTCTTCAAAGTATACTCATGAAACTAAAAACAATCTTGCTGTAAATAAGGTTATATAGATTAGAGAGGTGATGAAGCCATGGGAGGGAGGAAAGATACTACCTGGTGGCTTGCTGTGACTTCAAGTGAGAGAGCTGAAGAGAGATTTCTAATAGTTCGTGTCAATCATAGAGGTGGTGAGAATGAGAATGAGAGTGGACATAGAGACACTATGGTGGGTTTGCAAAAAAGGCTGAGGACGTGAGAACAGATGAAGGCTAGAATGTTTTAATTTATAAACATGACTAACCCACCCAATTTTGGAAAAGTCGTCCGAATCAAATGGGTGTAGTTAAACTCGTTTAGTTCACATGGGTTCTACCGGTTTTTTCCTCTAAAAGTCAAACAAGCAAGATGAATAAGAGATGAAAGAGGAATCTAGAGGGGGGAGAGAGAGAGAGAGAGAGGTCTGTAATCCGTATATGGTCTGCGAAGATTGTGAGTCTGCAATCGACGATCTAGGGTTGTTCCAATCGACGATCAATTGATTTGCGATCTAGGGTTGCTGGCTTTGATTTGCGATGCGCCTTTGATGCAAATAAGAAGAAAAAGAGGAAGAAGGTGATTTTTCGTTGATTTATAGGCCAGTGATACTAATTTTTCACTTCATTGTTCTTAATTTACAGATAGTGGGTCTTCTATTTCATCTCTTTTTTTTTGTTTTTTTTGTTTTTGGCACTTGCTCTATTGTCTAGTGTGTGGGTCAACGATTTTGTGAGAATTGGTTCAACTTAGATGCGAATCGACCGATTTGAACGAGAAGGTACTGAGTTATACTAAGTTGTATTGATTTGGAGCCGATACCAATTAGAATTGTTTTTTTTTTTTGTTTTTGTATCGTATCTCGGTATCGCATTGGTCATAACCGAGGCAATACTCGACCAATACTTTGAATTGTGATGGTAATCTTTTGTCTACGGGGAGATGAGTGATTGGATGGATGGAAGAAAGCCTTTATTTTTAGGGGATAGACTTACTTTAGTTCAATCAGTTTTGGCTAGTATTCCTATATATTTTTTCTCTCTCTTTAAAATGCCAGGTGTGGTAGTTAACAAAATCAAGGGGATGATGAGGGATTTCTTATGAGAGGGTAGTGGGGAAGGTAGAAGGGGTCATTTGGTTAGTTGGGATGTGGTTTCGAGAACTAGAGTTAGAAGAGTATTAGCATTGAGAAATTTGAAAGCTAGAAATGTAGCATTAGTTGGGAAATGGCTGTGTAGGTTTTTGTTGGAGCAAAATTTTTTGTGGCATTTGGTTATTAAAAGAAGGTTGAAAGGGGTAGTTTCCGAAACCTATGGAAATTCATTTTCCAAGGTTTGTCTTTTTTTTCTCAAAGGGTTAAATTTCAAGTGGGTAATAAGGAGACAGTGAGGGGATTGGGCAAGTCTCTTTGGATGGTTTGTTTCCTCAGCTTTATAGCCTTTATTGTCATCATCATTCTCGCAGTGTCAATGATTAAGTCTTATTATTTCCCCATGTCTTGGGATTTTGGGTTTCGTTGAAATCTCAATGATATAGAATCGTTGGAGTTGGTTTCTCTTATTTCTTTGCTTGATAATATTTCTTTAAATCAAGGGACAATTGATAAGAGAAGTTAGGTCATTGACTCAACGGGGGTGATTTCATGCAAATCTTATTTTGATTATTTGATTAATGATTCGACTTCTCCAATTTTTTATCCATCATTGAAGATTTAGAAGGTTAAGGTACTTTTGAAGGTACAAGTATGTGCTTGGGTAATTTTCCATAGAAAAATAAATACAAATGATATGATCCAAAGAAGACATCCATATCTTTCTCTTTGTCCTCAACGGTGCATTATGTGCAAAATGGATTGTGAGAATGTTAGCCATTTATTTTTGCATTATCTAATTGCATTGAAATTATGGAATAGGTTGTTTGAGTTGGCTGGGATTTCATGAGTAGCTCTAAGTTCTATATTATCAATGTTTTATGTGGACAATTTGGAAGGAGACAAAATGGTGTTACCATTTGGGATTATGCAACTTTTGCTATTATTTGGTGATTTGGTTAGAAAGGAATCCAAGAGTTTTGAAAATATCAGTATTTGATCTACTATGAAACTATTTGTCAATTTGTTCCATTTCGTAAACTATGGAAGTAGTAGTAAGAATGCACATGATTTGCATGTGCAAGTGCATGTGAACATGGTGCCATACTTGCTAATGACATGATCTTTGTTGAGTCATAATAGGTAATGTCCACATGGTTCATCTTGATGTATTATTTGCTTTATCTAATTTTGATTTGGTGGTGCTATATAGGTGGTGCTTGGAGGTGGTCAGGATGCATCAGCTGTCACAACCACCGATCATCGTGCTGGAAAGTTTGAGGCCAAATTTTTTGACAAGGTAAATATGAATATTAATGAATTTGATGAAGAGCTCCATTGATATGTATACCTCTCTAATAAGCTATATACTTCCTCTTATGTTTGATTAGATTCTTCAAGAGGAAATAGGAGGTGTGAAAGGGCACTTTGGACCAATAAATGCTTTGGCCTTCAACCCCGATGGAAAAAGGTATTATGTCTACCATTGAGTCTCATTTTAGGGGAAACTTGAGAGCGAATCGTAAAGTTTAGTTAGTCACTATAAATTTTGTCATATTTATATTTCGGTGCTTATTTTGATTACAGTATTCTAATTGTATTTCTTCTTTTCTAAAGCAATTGCTTGCATTTCTAACTTGAGGTGAATTTTAAAGTCTCTTCCTCTTATCCCTTATCATCATTAGCTAGTGAATAGAATTTTTTCATATGATTGCAGTTTGTTTGTAATTATATATGTCTGTATGTGTGTGTTTAATTGGTTGAAATCCAGCATAGTGAAAGCTGTATGAAGGACTTCAAATTAAGTGAATGCTTAGTGCCAGAAATGGCACAAGAATATGAGACTTTTGACGTTTCCTGTAGAATTATGGATCTGTGGGCAATTGGTAACTCGCATGCTAGGGCTATTAAAAGCTTTGAAGATTTATGGGTGGAAGATAGTTTGTACAGTTTTCAGTTCAAAAGGGTTAAATAGTAAGTATAATGGAATTTCGGCTTTGGTACTTTTGGGGTTATACTCTTAAAGATAAAGCTTTATAACTATTGTTGCGGGGAATAAGAAATTGAAGCACATTGCAGTATTTTCCCCTTAGGCATCACTGGCCCCTTAGGCATCAATTCCCAAGAGTTTCAAAAACATTGTGATGTAGATAGGGAAGGGAAAGAGAGGGAACACCGAATTCTCGCTAGGATTAGGTCAAGAAACAAAAATCTTCGCAGAAAATTCTCAAATGTTGGTCTAACTCTGATTAAAATAATGTGGAATACATCCTTATTTATAGACCAATTGTCCTACCATAGATGAACTACTCTACTACTACAACTGTATCAACTTATCACTACTAATCTCAGTATGATAAATACTATCTAACTAAAAATAAGATAAAAAATAACACATAGAAATCTTCACAAATCTATCAAGTGCATTTCCTTTTGGACCAAAAACTCTTAATTCTCCTAGGCTTCCAGATTCGGTCACGTTGGTCCAACTATCCAATGACTATGCAAAAAATTCTTCACTTTTGAAAGAAACTGGACTCCGGCGCGTGAGGAGGAGGGCCAAGAATACCATCTGACAAAATAATTTATAGAATCAATGAAGTCTTCTTTGTCGACGCTTAGGTTTCTCACTGCTAACCTTACAACCAATAGATAGAGGACGAATAGCACCCAATATATGACCGTCAATCAAATCATCAAAATCAGCCTCATTAACATCAAGAGGCTCCACAACTTGAATCTCAGAATCTGACTCATTAGATTCTTTATCCTCCTTGGGTTTTCCTTTTCAATTGTCGCGACAACCTTTGTAGGGCATTTGACAATTAAAACATCTCGTCTTAACTTTAGGGTTAGTACCACCTTGAAAATTAGAAGTTAACCCCTGGGCGAGTTGGTTTATTGGCGACAAAAGCACTGTTTTGTGGTAAATGATTTACCTAGATTTGCATCCACAAAAATCTTTTTACTTTTAAGTTGTAGACACCCTAGTAGACCTCAGAGAAGTCTTCTTTTTCAGATCGTCTTCCATTTGATGGGCAACTTGAACTACATCCGCCATAGTGTAAAGATGACTTGAAGCTAACCTTGAAGAAATCTTTGAATTGAGCCATTGCCTGTACATGACGATCCTTACATCCTCAATCCACAGGAGCTTGGAACGAGTGGCTAAGCTATAGAACTTTCCTATGTCATCCTCAAGAGACATGCTTCCCTGATTCTACTGTATGAATTGTAGATGAACTCGTTTCTTATAATTAGTAAGCACAAAGTAACGAGTTATAACAGTTTTCATATCATCCCATGATTTATCAAAGTGAGTTTGTTGGTGCTTTACCCACCAAAGCATTGCTACACCCTTTAGCATAGATTTGGCAAATAATACCTTCCTCTCATTAGTCAAATGATGCCATCTGAAGAGCCTTTCAAGGCTATTCAACCAATCAAGAAATGTCTTGGGATTATTATTCCAATGAAAATCTCCAACTTCTACCTTGACTCCTTTATCAACATCAAATAATCTGGGTTTTTCTTGAAGTTGAGCTCGTGGTGGGGGGCTTGTGCAAGTACCTGTGGAGGATTGATGACCGAAAATGATGGATTGCTATCGACGTATTTCTCAACTTCTTTTCCCTTCTTATCTAAGAAATAAGCTTCCATCATCTCCTTTAGTGATGTTATAGACGCCTCTAGTGAATCAATCCTCTCATTTATGGCCTTTTGTGAATCAACTTGTGCTTGGGATAAAACCTTTACTTTAGCATTTAATTCAGCGTTGGAAACCATCTTAATATAAGAAGTGACTTGAAAAGTTGCAGAAAATTTTTGGGGCCAAATTATAATTTTAGAAACTTTTGGGGTCAAGTAGAAGTTTTAGAAGCTTTCAATTCCAAAGTATATTTCTACAACTATTTGGGGTAAGAGTGTAATTTTAGAAATTTTAGGTGTAAAATCTATAATTTTGAAGAGGTTTGGGGGTGTTTGTGTAATTTCAGAGTGTTGGGGGCAGATCTGAAATTTTTCCTGGGTTGGGTACTGTTGGGCTTGAATTGGGCTAATTTTGGCTACTTGGGTTAGAGATGGGAATTGGGCTGGGATTATGTTTTAACTGGGCTGGTCATTGTTGGGCTAGATTTGATATAGAAGTGGGGCTGATTTTATTTTTTTTTTTTGGGGTTTGATGAGTAGAGAGAGTTTGCTTCCTGCAAAATTACGTGGTCAACGGCAGCCTCGTTGCCTCCAAATCAACAGGGATGACAAAGATTTCGGTGAGAAGAATGTCGGAGAAAGCACCACCAATGTGTATCTCAACTCTCGGTGACAATGCAAAACCCCAAAAACCATCAGTTGCAACACTCCGACAAGCAATAATGATGACAACAAGTGAACAGTAATATCAAGCACTGAATATGGCTAATCGGAAGAGGAGAAAAATATAAGAGACTTTGGATCACAGTTGTGTTCAGATACCAATTAATGCAGAGAGGGAAGGGAAAGAGGGGGCATACCGAATGCTCACAAGGATTAGGTCAAGAAACACAAATCTCCGTTGAGAATTCTCAAACTAATATTCAATTTTGAGTAAAAATAATGTGGAATACATCTTTATTTATAGAACAAGTGTCTTACCAAAATGAAGTATTTTACTACTAAAACTCTATCAACTTATCCCTACTAATATTAAACTGATAAATACTATCTAATTAAAAAGAAGAAATAAAAATCCTAACAAATCTACTTAGTGTTGTGAAAGTAAGAGAATTTTTTAGACTACAAAGAGAATATAGATAACATATATATACTAGAGAAAGTACTTCTCAACTTCTATATTTTTCAATGTGGTGAAGACCTCCTTTTATAAGCGTCAAATCATAATGGTCATCAAATATAATATTAACACTAGTTAGAGGTTATAAGGTCAAATACTAACACCTATTACATTGGTAGGCTAGAGTTCATCCATATTTATATACAATATATTTACAACACTCCCCTTGGATGACTACTGATAATATGTCTCGTTAAAACCTTGTTAGGAAAATGATGCAATCCATAAAATATTCAAGGAAACACAAATTAGAAGATGTAAAAGATAATGAAATTGACTTTCTATCAAGATATGGAACCTTGCATTCTTATTTTAAGTCAATTTGTTAGTATTAATATTTTATATGTCCTTTTAATATTTTGTGTCAGGGGTATTTTTGTAATTTCAAGAATTTCTGGAATAGGTTATATTTTTGGGTCAAATTCTAATATTGAATATTCTAGAATTTAATGTCCTAGTTCTAGTTAATTTTAGTTTTCTAATTTATACGGATCTAGTGTCTTTGAAGGTCTAGAGACTTTGGAATTCTAATCTTTTGGGATTAGGATTACTTAGAACTTTATATATAGTTGGTGTTACTTTTAATAATAGATGGAGAGATATATTTAGAATTTTGAGTAATTACATGTTTCTTGAGTTGTGTGATGTAATTCTAATTCTGGGTGTGATGCCAAAGGAACTCTAGGAGTGATTCCTAACCAAAATTATTGTTCATACTACTGTTCACAGTCCCTGCACAACCCCTAAACAATCCCTATTTTTTATTTTACAAAGTTGTCCTACATCAGAAAACCCTATGAGCAAAAACCCAACGAAGGAAAAAGAATACATATTCAAATGAATTTTAGAATAGCGTTAGATGCATTAATGTTGCCTCATTAAAGCCTTGTTAGGAAAATCTAATGGGACAAAACCTAGATGAAGGAAAAAGAGTACAACGTGCATGTCTTGTATTTTGATGTGGATACTCCCTCTAATGAAAATCTCCCCCTAATAAAAGATCAATTAGGTTGGTCTCGAATTTGACGCATTTCAATGCCATATACCAATTTCCTAAACGTTGATAATGGTAAAGTTTTAGTGAATAGATGTGTAAGATTGTCACTAGATCATATCATATTTGCTTTACTTTGATTTGACGGCTTTGTTAGAGTTCATGTGTATAGAAAAACTTTGGCAAAATATGCTTGGTTCTATTACCTTTAATAAACCCTCCTTTAATTTGTGCAATGCAAGCAACATTATCTTCATATATGGTTGTTAGTGAATCTGTAATCAAAGGGAGCTTGCAAGTATTTCGGATGTGATGGACTATAGGTCTTAGCCACACACATTCACGGCTCACTTCATGGAGAATAAGAATTTCAGAATAATTGGATGTAGCAATTAATGCCTGTTTGGTAGATTGCCATAAGTTTGTTGTTTCACCACATTTGAAAATGTACCCAGTTTGCGAACAAGCCTTGTGGGGATCTTGATAGGTATTGAAAATCCGCATAACTGACTAAATGTGAACCATTGGCTGATTGTTTTGAGTATGACAAGCCCAAATTTGTAGTTCCACGAAGATAGTGTAGGACATGTTTTTCGTCATTCCAATGTCTTCGAGTTGGTGCAGAACTAAATCTTGCCAACAAGTTAATTGCAAATGTTATATCAAGCCTAGTGTATTGTGCTAAGTATAACAAAGCATCAATTGCACTTAAGTATGATATTTCAGGACTAAGAAGTATTTTATTTTCCTCCTTAGGACAAAAAAAGTCCTTATTGACATCAAGAGATCGAACGACCATTGGAGTACTTAACAGATATGCTTTATCCATGCTAAACCTCTTCAAGATTTTTTTGGTATAAGTTGTTTGATGAATAGGAATTCTGTTTAACGTATGCTCGATTGCAGGCCGAGACAATTTTTTTTTTTTTTAAGATCTTTCATCTCATTCTTTTTTCAATTATTCAGTAGCTTTTATCAATTCTTTAGGATTTCCAATCAGATTCATATAATCAACATATATTGCAATGATAACAAATTCAAATTTTGATTTCTTAATAAATGCATATGGGCATATGGGATTGTTAACATGCTGTTTCTTTGTCAAGTACTTACCGAGACTGTTATACCACATTCTTTCAGATTGTTTCAATTC